TCACACATTAATTTTTCTGATTCTAATGCCTCTGAGAGTTTTTCTACCATTCTCTTGTTCCCTTTGTGTATTTTTTCTCTTTTCTGATTGAGAAACTTCTCAGCACACAGCACATTTTCTTCTTTGTTCAGCTTTTCCTCTGTGTACCCAAGCTCTTAGACTAAAAGCTCATTCCCTAGTCATGTCAGCCTCTGCTTCATTCCCATCACTGGTGCTGGGGCAATGATGGAAATCCCAGTCACCATCATAGGAAGAAAGGAAGGAAAGGGAAGGGAAGGGAAGAGAAAGGAAGGGAAGGGACAGGAAGGGAAAGGAAAAAGACTGGCTAAAGACTAGTCTTCCCTTCCTTAACCCAGCCCCTAATTTGAGCTGAATTAAGGGAAAGAGAAGAAAAGCCACACTTTTCCTCTGAAATGATATCATAGGAGATTGTCTAGACAATTGTATTATTGCATCTTTTATGTAGTTTTGGAGACAAGAGCTTTTTTAATAAAACAGAACTTTGCTTTCAGAACTGATGCATGCACAGTATTAAACATGCAAAAATATAGAGAAAAATAAATCTGATATTGTGGTCAGAGTTTATAGGAGAACAGATTTAATACAGCACACTTAATTTATAGAATTATTTTATAATAGACACCCACTCAAAGAGTTAAATGCAAGAGTGTGGAGATCTGCCCGCAGAACACAAAGAATCCAGCTGAAGGCCTGGATCCCACTGCAGTGTCCTCCACAAGCCCAACTGCAAGTCTAGAGCCCACCATGATGTCATGTGCAAGTCTGTATCAAGCATCTATAATAGGAAAGATCTACAAAGGTCAGTGATGGAAGCTACAAGTCTGCACCAGCAGGATGAAGGATCTGTGCCAGCAGGCTGAGGGATCTGCACTGGGACCAGGAGGCAATGCCCAAGGCGAGGACCAGAGCTCCTTAGAGAATTGCAGCCATCCTAAGTGACAGCAAGGACTTGAACTCCAAGCCAGAAAAACCAGCTTGGCAAGCTTCTCCAGGAAAATCAGCAGCACACCACCTGTCTTTCCCTCCAGTTCTCTTTTCATGCTGTTGGCAACAATCCTCAGGTGGGCCTTCTATGCCCAGCACCATGATGATTCAATTCACTTGCATGTGCCAAGTTGACCTTTAGTTAATTCACCGCAGATGGCCACTGAGGAAGACATGGTGCCTGGAGGACTTCTTAGGACAGAAGCCATGCTCAGCTGGCCTCTGGCTGGTCAGAGGCTGAGACTTCCTGCCACATGTTGGCGTAGTCTGCTTATCCTGGTGCTTTGCCCTCCTGCTGTCTTCCCCTGACATTATCCAGCACACCTGCAGCCTGCGCACAGCCCAGTTAAGCACTATGGTGGGTTTCAGATATGCTGGATCCACACGGGTTGTGAGACTGTAGTCTTTGGGTTTAGGGACATAGCTCATGCATCTTGAGCCTCCCTCAAGGTTCTAGATTTGCTAACTCAGCAATCTGAGCCTCTCTTTTCTCCTTTTGGTTCCAAAATGGAGAGCAGCCATACAATATGCAGGCAACTGAACCTGAGAAATGGACTTTTGTTTTTGTCTTTTTGAGACAGGGTCTTACTATGCAATTCAGGCTAGTCTTGAACTCACTTTGTACCCCCAGGCTGGCCTCAACTCAGTGATCCTACTGCCTGAGCCTCTGAGTGCATACTAGCATGCCTTGTTGAGGAACTGGCTTTGTGATTTGGTT